TAGGCCCGAAACGTCAGCCTTTCTGCTCCTCTGATGTTGCTTGGCCTGCTGTGTTCATCCAGCTCCACACCTTGTTATCATGGATACACACTGCACCTGATTCAACTCAATATAATAGGTAACAGCCATTCGCTGGCTCATTCCTCAGGGCATATTCTTGACTAATCATACTGTCTGGTTTAAGATTTAAAAAAGACCGTCCAGTCGTCATTAACTGCTGCATTTTCCATGGCAATACGTCTATCAGTGTCCACTTCCCAATGACGTTGGAAGTCACACAATATCAGGCTACAGTCCAACAGATTTATTTGTAATCACAAGCTTTCGGCTGATGAAGGAGCAGCACTCGGAAAGCTTGTGATTTCAAATAAACCTGCTGGACTATAACCTGGTGTCGTGTGACTTCTGACATTGTCCACCCCAGTCTAACCACCGGCACCTCCACATCATGGCTGCCCAATGAATCAGCACTCTTCTCCCATACTGTACAAAATGTTGGTTTCTCCCTCAAATTGTTATTCTTGTGAAGTGTCCTGATGAGTGCAAAATGAAAACTTCCATCAACATGAGTACTCAAACTTATCGTTTTGTTGATTTGCAGGGACAGGAGATGGGAGACCTGGCAGCAACGTGGAAGAAAGTATTTTCTGAAGAAGGATCTAGCCCCAAAGTCAGCCTTCCTGCTCCTCTGATGCTGCCTGGCCTGCTGTGTTCATCCAGCTCTACACCTTGTTACCTTGGCAGAAAGTATGGCCTGCTTTGCAGGAAATCCGCTTGATTTCCGTTGCCTTGAGTTCCATGCGGACCCCCATTGAGAAAAAAAAAGACAAAATTGTTCAAGGGTGAAATGAAATGCTCTGCAGTCGTTTCGTGATCCCTATAACAGGGATAGCATTGCTGCTTGGCATTTTCAGAAATACGTTTACTTTAAACATTTGAGCTGGCAACACATCCCCAGAGGTGTCAGCTCTAGTACACTAGTGTCACTGGCTTTGATTCTGTGAAACTGAACTAAAGATTGCTCAACAGAGCAGCAGAATAGAGGAAATCAGAGTTTGAGATTTCAAAAAATAAAGAATAAATGCCTGTCAGGATTGATGACAGCGAGATTTTAACAGCAATACCAATACCAGAAAGTTTTAAGTCCCAGCTCATGCATTTGACCGATGCGTCTCCTCATCCAGGCACCACCTGGGGATGGCCACATGGTAGGAGCATTGCTTCAGCACCAAAGTTCAGGATTTTCAGATGGCCGCAACGGCTGGTGATGGAGATCTGGGAGGGCAGGTTAAAAAGGACGGCTATTGCTGAGCGTTTTACGACAACTGTCTAAGGAAACAAGGGGCAGGAATGGGAGCAAGTACCGAGTGTGAGCCCAGGGCATTCAGAGAAGCTGACCAAAAGCCTCAGAAGATGGCACAGAAAAGAAGTGTGCGTTGCCATAGCGCCTTGAAATGCATGGTCACTGGTGTACTACAGCCAATTTACTCCCGTAAACAGCAGTAAGACGAATGACCAGGTCATTTTTTTTTGATGTAATTTTTTTCAAAAAAATTAATCATGGGAGATTGGTATCTTTGGTTAGGCCAGCATTTATTGCCCATCCCGAGTTGCCAAAAGGGTAGCTGAGTCAAGCACATGACTGTGGATCTGGAGTCACATGTAGGCCAGACCAGGGAACGATGATAGATTTCCTTCCCTGAAAGACTTTAATGGTTTTTCACATCAATTGACAGTGGTTACATGGTCACCATTAGATTAGATTATTCATTCGAGATTTTTCTTTTTATTGACTGTGAATTTCACTATCTACCGCAGTGGGACCCATGTCCCCAGGAATTTAACCTGGGATTCTGGATAACTGGGTCATGTGACATTACTACTGTTCCACCACCTTCCCAGTTAGATAAACGTTGATCAGGAAACCAAGGAGCATCCACCTCGTAATGACCACAGGTGCTTAAATCCACCTGAGAGGGTGGCAGACAGGGACCCTGTGACAGCATTTCCTTGATAGCGCACTAGAGTGTCAGTCTGGATTCTGTGCTCAGATCGCTGAAGTGGGGTCTGAACCCAGAAGCTTCCAAGTTAGCTGCAGTTGGTTGGCGGGGGGTCGGGGGTTTGGTGATGGGGGTGGATGTTAATGCTTACCTTGGTCAAATGCAGCAAATGGGCAGATTGCAAACCTGGTCAGCACACACAACCAGTCTAATTTGAACTTTCACTGGAATCACAGTGTGGTGCAAGCTTCAGTTCTGCAGCCACTTCCGTTCGCTGCGTCAATTGACGATTTCAGTGTCAGCTCTGGGGTGGGCTGGCGTTCAAATATGGAGAGGATACCAAAATAGGAGATACAGTTGAGTTCAGAGGAAATGGCAAATGGATATCGATAAGCTAGAAGCAAATTTGTCTGCTAGAACGCAATCTCAGTCAGTGTGATGCGCTGAAAGAAATGTAACAATAATCAGACTCTGATTGGAAGCAGGTTGATGTGTAAAAGTGGAGGGCTTTGGGATGGTAATGGCACAGGATATTGAAGGCAGAATCTCAGGATGACAAAGCTATAAAGAAAAGTTAATGGAATTTGTTTTATTTCAATAGCCGTACGATATAAAAACCAACATGTACCAATGAATCTAAATAAATCCTTAATAAGTCTTCAGTTAGAACTCCCTGGGCAGTATTGGGCTCCACGTGATTGGAAAGAGATTGACATTTGCATTGGTTAACAAGGATACTACATGATTTTAACTTCTCCTCTCATGGGACATGGGCCTTAGGAGCAAGGCCAGCATTTGTTACCAATCCCTAACTGTGATTGAATTGATAAGATTGGGTGGCAGAATGAACCATATTGCTGTGGGTTTGGAGTCACATATATGCCAGACCAGGTGAGGATGACAGATTTCCTTCTTTGTAGGACATTGGTGAACCAGATGGGCTTCTACACTACTTGTCACGGTCACCATCACTAAGATCAATTTTATATTCTTGATTTATTAATTGAATTTAAATTCCAATAACTTCTATGTGGGGATTTGAACCCCCAACTCCAAAGGATTAGACTAGGTATCTATATTGCAAGTTCAGTGACAAAAACCACCGCACCAAATACAGCTATGAAGAAAGACTTGGTAAAAAATGGAACATCTTTCACAAGAACAATGAAAGTTATCATGCAATTTTGGAAATGGTGAAAGGATGGATTGAAGTAGCTAGCAACTAAAGACTAAATGTAAATGATTTAAAATAGAAGGCAGGAGATGGCACAGAGGCTGTGGAACTTAGTGGTTAAGGCAAAACTACTTCAACATTGAACATTGATAAAGATAGAAGTTAAATATACATGCCAACAAGGTAAATATGATTAAACTATACGTTCCCATGGAGTTAAGTGCCAACATGGACCAATTTTTGAAAATATTTGTTCATGGGATGTAGGTATCGCTGATTTTATTACCCATCCCTAACTGCCCTTGAGAAAGTGGTGGTGCAATGCCATCTTGAACTGTGGCAGTGTATGGTGGGTAAATAGACTTACAGTGCAGTTGGGAAGGGAGTTCCAGGATTTTGGCCCAATTGGACTGAATAGTCTCAGATGTGCTTAGCTCCATTTATTTCTGTGGATCAATGTCAGCAGGAGGTTCAATCATAGCATAGCCTCGTGGTATTATTGCTGGACTGTTAATCCAGACGCCAGGCAACATTCTGGGGACGTGGGTTTGAAACTCACCAGGGCAGATGGTGGAATTTGAATTCAATGAATATCTGGCATTAAGAGTCTGATAATGATTACTGTTTAAAAAATCCATCTGGTTTGCTAATGCCCTTTAGGGAAGGAAATTGCCACCCTTAGCTAGTCTGGTCTATATGTGACTTCAGCAAAGTGGTTGACTCTTAACTGCCCTCTGGGATGGGCAATAAATGCTGGCCTAGCCGACGATGCCCTCATCCCACGAATGTATTTTAAAAAACTGCAATCGTAGTCACGCCTATTCCTGTTCTGATCTGATATTTTAGTAGGTGCCACTAGATAGCTGCCAAGAGTAAGAATATTGGCCAGTTGTTATACTCACTGGTACTGCTCCTAACACAATGGTAGCTATGAGGTAGTTCAGTTGGACCAGGTGCTGAATCAGGTATAAATGCAAAATACTGCAGATGCTGGAGATCTGAAACAAATACAGAGAAAGCTGGAGAAACTCAGCAGGTCTGGCAGCATCTGTAGAGAGAGGGACAGGGTTCATGTTTCAGGTCCGACAAGACTCTTCCTCTTCAGAAGAATGTTTCGGTTATGTCCTGGACTTAGAGGTGTTATACTGCACTGGACACATTGGTTACAAAGTAAAGTATTGACAGGGAATAACAAAATTCATGAGAGTGGGATAGGACATTGGACGCCCTGAGTGTAATCTACAGAGAAAAACTGAGACAGACAGAACCTGCATTGTAAAATGGTGCGGTATTTCTCCATTCACAGTATCAAAATATCCAAATACAGTCACATCTGCCCCTTGTCTTTGGCCTTAAAGCACTGAAGGACAGTACTGTCTAGATACTAGGTACTTTAACCTACCTGGACAAAGCTCTGACACAACAACGTGACATGTTGATAAAGGAAGTAGCATTGGCTCGTGTCTGGAGCGACGTTTCAATCCCTCGAAGCAGGTCATTAGTCTTTAGGAGCAGAAGCATTTGGCGAGGGACTTTGTTCAGCAGTTCATTGATGCGAGGCAGATATTTAGCTGCGTTTACTCTAATCTCCACATCCTGTAAGACAATTGGAACACTTGATTACTCTCGATATAAATGGCACATTTGGAGATAAATGGTAAACGAGATTGAATGCAGCAAGAAAATACAAGGTGATATGTTGTGGGAGTATGAATAAGTATAGGTCAGGCACACTGAACGGCAATACTTCGAAGGGAACAGAGAAGAACAGATTTCAAGTGATACAGACAAATATCTTTAAAGGTCAGAGGACAGGTTGACAAGGATGTACAAAAAGGGTATGTATAACAGTTGCAAAAACAGAAGTTGCTGGAAAAGCTCAGCGGGCCTGGCAGCACCTGTGAAGAAAAAGTCAGAGTTAATGTTTTGGGTCTAGTGACCCTTCCTCAGAACTCTGTTCTGAGGACCCGCGTTCGAATCCCACTATGGCAGATGGTAGAATTTGAATTTTAAAAAAAAGTCTGGAATTAAGAATCGACTGATCATCATGAAAGCATTTCCGATTGTCGGAAAAAAAAACCCATCTGGTTCTCTAATGTCCTTCAGGGGAGGAAATCTGCCACCCTCACCTAGTCTGGCCTCCATGTGACTCCAGACCCACAGCAATGTGGTTGACTCTCAATTGCTGTCCGAAATGACCCAGCAAGCACTCAGTTGTACCAAGTGCTACAAAGACTCAAAGAAATGATCACCTGGCATTGACCTAGGCACCGGAAAAGACAACGGCAGAAACAGCCCTGTCGACCCTGCAAAGTCCTCCTCACTAACATCTGGGGGTTAGTGCCAAAATTGGGAGAGCTGTCTCACAGACTAGTCAAGCAATACCCTGACATAGTCATACTCACAGAATCATACCTTACAGACAATGTCCCAGACACCACCATCACCATTCCTGGATGAATCCTGTCCCACTGGCAGGGCAGACCCAGCAGAGGGGGCGGCACAGTGGTATATAGTCGGGAGGGTGTTGCTTTAGGAGTCCCCAACATTGACTCTGGGCCCCATGAAGTCTCATGGCTTCAAGTTAAACATGGGCAAGGAAACCGCCTGCTGATTACCATAAACCATCCTCCCTCAGCTGATGAATCAGTACTCCTCAATGTTGAACAACACTTGGAGGAAACACTGAGGATGACAAGGACACAAAATGTACTCTGGGTGGGGGGGTTTCAATGTCTGCCACCAAGTGTGGCTCGGCAGCAGTACTACTGATCGAGCTGGTCGGGTCCTACAGGACATAGCTGCGAGACTGGGTCTGCGGCAGGTGGTGAGGGAATCAAGAGGGAAAAACAGACTTGATCTCATCCTTACCAATCTGCCAGCTGCAGTTGCATCTGTCCATGACAGTATTGGTAACAGTGACCATTGCACAGTCCTCGTGGAGACGAAGTCCCGCCTTCACATTGAGAATAACCTCCATCGTGTTGTGTGGCACTATCACCGTGCTAAATGGGACAGACTTTGCACAGATCTAACAACTCAAAACTGGTCTTCCATGAGGCGCTGTGGGCCATCAACAGCAGAAGAATTGTACTCCAGCACAATCTGTAAACTCATGGCCCGGCATATACCCCCCTCAACCATTACCATCAAGCCAGGGGATCAGCCCTGATTCAATGGAGAGTGCAGGACGGCATGCCAGGAGCAGCACCAGTGATACCTGAAGATGAGGCATCAACCTGGTGAAGCCACAAACAGGACTATCTACATGCCAAACAGCATAAACAGCAAGTGATAGACAGAGCTAAGTGATCCCACAATCAACGGATCAGATCTAAGCTCTGCAGTCCTGACACATCCAGTTGTGAATGGTGGTGGACAATTAAACAACTCACTGGAGGAGGAGGCTCCACAAATATCCCCATCCTCAATGATGGAAGGGCCCAGCACATCAGTGCAAAAGATAACGCTGAAACATTCGCAGCAATCTTCAGCCAGAAGTGCCGAGTGGATGATCCATCTCAGCCTCCTCCAGTGGTCCCCAGCATTACAGATACCAGTCTTCAGCCAATTCGATTCACTCCAAGTGATATCAAGAAACAGTTGGAGACACTGGATACTGCAAAGGCTACGGGCCCTGACAACACTCCAGCAATAGTACTGAAGACTTGTCCTCCAGAACTTGCCGCTCCCCTAGCCAAGCTGTTCCAGTACATTTATAACACTGGTATCTACCCAACAATGTGGAAAATTGCCCAAGTTGGTCCTGTACACAAAAAGCAGGACAAATCCAACCCGGCCAATTACCGCCCCATCAGTCTCCTCTCGATCATCAGTAAAGTGATGGAAGGTATCCTCAATAGTGCTATCAGGTAGCGCCTGCTCAGCAATAACCTGCACAGTGGCGCCCAGTTTGGGTTCCGCCAGGGCCCCTCAGCTCCTGACCTCATTACAGCCTTGGTTCAAACATGGACTAAAGAGCTGAATTCCAGAGGTGAGGCGAGAGTGACAGCCCTTGACATCAAGGCTGCATTCGACCGAGTGTGGCATCCAGGAGCCCTGGCAAAACTGGAATCAATGGATATCAGGGGGAAACTCTCCGCTGGTTGGAGTCATACCTGACACATAGGAAGACGGTCATGGTTGTTGACGGCTTCAGGACATCTCTGCAGGAGTTCCTCAGGGGAGTGACCAAGGCCGAACCATCTTCAGATGCTTCATCAATGACCTTCACTCCATCAAATGGTCATAAGTGGGGATGTTCGCCGATGATTGCACAATGTTCAGCACCATTCGTGTCTCCTCAGATACTGAAGCAGTCCATGTTCACATGCAACAGGATCTGGACAATATCCAGGCTTGGGCTGACAAGTGGCAAGTGACATTCACACCACACAAATGCCAGGCTATGACCATCACTAATAAGAAACAATTTAACCACCGTTCCTTGACATTAATGGTGTTACCATCATTGAATCCCGCACTATCAACATCCTGGACGTTACCATTGACCAGAAACTCAACTGGATTCACCACATTAACACAGTGACTACAAGAGCAGGCCAGAAGCTAGGAATACTGCAGCGAGTAACTCACCTCCTGACTCATCAAAGCCTGTCCAGGATCTACAAGACACAAGTCAGGAGCGTGATGCAATACTCTCCACTTGCCTGGATGAGTGCAGCCCCAACAACATTTAAGAAGCTTGACACCATCCAGGACAAAGCAGCTCATTTGATTGGCACTACATGCACAAGCATTCACTCCCTCCATCACCAACACTCAGTAGCAGCAGTGTGCACTATGCACAAGATGCACCGCAGAAATTCACCAATGATCCCTTGGACAGTACCTTCCAAACCCACTGCCACTTCCATCTAGAAGGACAAGGGCAACAGATACATGGGAACACAACCCCCTCCAAGTCACTCACCATCCTGACTTGGAAATATATTGCAGTTCCTTCACTGTCGTTGCGTCAAAATCCTGGAATTTCCTCCCTAATGGCACTGTGGGTCAACCCACAGCAGGAGGACTGCAGCGGTTCAAGAAGGCAGCTTACCACCACCTTCTCAGGGGCAACTAGGGATGGACAAGAAATGCTGGCCAGCCAGCGACGCCCACATCCCACTAATGAATAGGAAGAAAAACGTTCTGTACCAAAGCAGAAGTTGCTGGAAAAGCTCAGCAGGTCTGGCAGCATCTGAGAAGAGAAAATCAGAATTAATGTTTCATGTCTGGTGACCCTTACTCAGAACTTAAACTTCTGGTTCATTCCTGATTTACAGCATCCACAGTTCTTTTGGTTTTATTTGCTGCAGTTTTGTGGCTGCAGAGATACTAATAGCACCGTGAGGAAGCATATTCCAAGATTCTGACACAGTGGCACTGAAGGAATAGCAATATATTTCCAAGTCTGGATGGTGCATGGCTCGCAGGAGATGGCCTTACTATGCATCTACTGCGCTTGACCTTCTAGATGGTAGTGGTCATGGGTTTGGAAAGTGCAGTCTCAGGATCTTTGGTGAATTTCTGCAGTGCATCTTGTAGATAGAGTCATACAGCACGGAAACAGATCCTTCCGTCCAACTAATTCACACCAACCAGGTTCCCAAACTAAAGTAGCCCCACCTGCCTGTATTTGGCCCATATCCCTCCAAACCTTTTCTATTACTATACTTACCAAAATGTCTTTAAATATTGTAACTGTACCTGCATCCAGCACTTCCTCTGGCAGTTCATTCCACACATGAACTACTCTCTGTGCAAAAAAAGTTGCTTCTCATGTCCTTTCTCCTCTCACTTTAAAAATATGCCCCCTCATTTTGAATTCCCCCACACTATGGAAAAGACCCTTGCTATTCACCTTATCCATGCCCCTGTTGATTTTATCAACCTCAATAAGGTCAGTTCTCAGTGGAGTGTAGGAGGTTGAGCAATGTCCCAGCCTATCCAGCCTCTCCTTATAACTTCAACATTCCAGTCCTGGCAACATCCTGGTAAATCTTTTCTGAACCCGCTCCAATTTAATAATATCCTTCCTATAGCAGGGCAACCAGAACTGCACACTTTACTCCAGAACTGGCTTCACAAACGTCCTGTACAACCTCAACATGATGTCTCAACTCCTGTACTCAAGGAACAAAAACAAGTTGCTGGAAAAGCTCAGCAGGTGTGGCTGCATCTGTGAAGGAAAAAACAGAGTTAACGTTTCGGGTCCGGTGACCCTTCCTCAGAACTGATGGTGGCTGGCGTCGGAGAGAGGAGCAGAACTTCTTCAAGGTGGGTATGCCTGGAAGAGATGTGGCAGTGAGTTAAATACTAAATAAAAACCCAAAGAACAGCGGATGCTGTAAATCAATTTACAGATTTACAGCATCCGCAGTTCTTTCAGTTTTTATCCTGTACCCAAGGGTCTGAGCAATGAAGGCAAGCGTGCTAAATGCTTTCTTAACCACCTTGTCTATCTGTGACATAAATTTCAAAGAATTAGGTACCTGCACCCCTAAGTTTCTCTGTTTAGCAACACTACCCAGGGCCCTACCATTAATTGTTTAAGTCCTGCCTTTGTTTGCTTTACCAAAATGCATTTATCCAAATTAAACTTCATCTACCACTCCTCAGCCCATTGACGCAATTGATCAAGATCTCTTTGCAATCTTAGATAACCCTTTTCACTGTCTACTATACCAGCAATGTTGGTGTCATCCACAAAATTACTAACCATGCCTCCTGTATTCTCATCCAAATCATTTACATAAATGACAAACAAAAGTGGACCCAGTACTGATCCCTGTGGAACATCACTGGTCACAGGCCTCCAGTCTGAAAAACAACCCTCCATCATCACCCTCTATCACCTACTGTCAAGCCAATTTTATATCCACATGGCAAGCTCCCCCTGACTCCCATATGATCTTACTTTACTAATTAGTCTACCATGCAGAACATTGTCAAAGGCTTTACTAAAGTCCGTGAAAACAATGTCTACCACTCAGCCTCATCAAGCTTTTTGGTTAGTTCCTCAAAAAATTCAATCAAGTTTGTGAGAGACGATTTCCTGCGCACAAAACCATGCTGACTATCCCATATCAGTCCCAGCCTCTCCAAATACACGTAAATCTTATCTTTCAGAATCACCTCCAACAATTTACCCACCACCGATGTCAGGCTCACAGGTCTGTAGTGCCTAGGTTTCTCCTTACAGCCATTCTCAAATAAAGGCACAACATTAGCTGCCCTCCAGTCCTCCAGCACCTCACCCGCGCCTAGAGATGATACAAATATCTCTGCTAGGGGCCCTGCAATTTCTTTCCTAACTTCCCACAACATCCTGGGATACAATTAACAGGTCCTGGAGATTTATCCCCCCTTATGTTTTCTAAGACCACCGACACTTCCTCTTCTGTAACGTGAACTGTTTTCAAAACATCAATATTTATTTCCCTGTGTTCTTGAGCCTCCATTTCCTTCTCCAGAGTAAAAAGTGACACAAAATATTCATTTAGTATTTCTCCCATTACAGAGGATCAACATATAGAAGACCTCGTTGATCCATAAGGGGTCCCGGTCTCTTTCTAGTTGCTCTTTTGCTCTTAATATACTTGTAGAAACTCTTTGGATTATCCTGAACCTTATCTGCCAAGGCTATCTCATATCGCCTCTTTGCCCTTCTGACTTCCCTCCTAAGAATGCTCCTACACTCTTTGTACTCTTCAAGAGATTCAGTTGTCCATACCTAATATATGATTCTTTCTTATTTTTGACTGGAAGCTCAATATCTTTATTCATCATTTGTTCCCTACTGTTACCAGCCTTACCCTTCACTCTAACAGGAACATAATGCCTCTGAACTCTCATTATCACAAGGTTGAAAGCTTCCCACTTGAGTGTCATCCCTTTACCTGCAAACAGCCTACTCTAATCAACTTTTGAAAGTTCTTGTCTCATACCATTAAAATTTGCCTTATTCCAATTAAGAAATTTAACTTTTATGGAAGGCTAATCCTTTTCCATAATTATTTTAAAACTAATAGAATTATGATCACTAGTTCCAAAGTGCTCCCCTGCTAACATTTCAGTCATTTGCCCTGCCTTATTTCCCAAGAGAAGGTCAGGTTTTGCTCCTTGTCTTGTAGGTATATTTACATATTGATAAAGCAAATTTTCTTGAACATATTTAACAGACTCTTTCCAATCAAAGCTTTTAACACAATGGCAATCCCAGTCAAGCTACTGTTACAACCCAGTTCTTCTTACATATATCTGAGATTTCTTTACATGTTTGCTCCTCAATTTCCCTCTGACAATTAGGGGCCCTATAATATAATCTAATCAAGGTGATCATCCCTTTCTTATTTCTAATTTCTACCCACATAGTTGCACTGGAGAATCACTCAGAAAAATCTTCTCTAATTACAGTAGTAATGTTTTGCTACTGAGCTTGGTGGAAGGAGTGAATATGGTGCCAGTCAAGAGGTCTGATTTGTCCTTGGTGGTGACAAGCTTCTTAAGTATTGCTGAAGCTACACTCATCCAGGCAAGTGTGGAGTTTCCCATCACAATCCTGACTTGTGCCTTGTAGAGATGGTGGACAGGCACTGGGGAGTCAGGAGGTGAGTTATTCGTCACAGAATTCCTAGTCTTGGATCTGCTCCTGTAGCTACAATACTGGATGCAGTACTTTAGAAAATGTATTACCTGTCCATAGTGGTTGTTAGAAGATGATAGGAATAAATTAATGACAGACTGCCCAAAAGTTGTTGTTTTTTTTTTTAAACTGTTTTGCTAATTCCAAAGAACATAAGAAATAGAATAATCATAGAATCCCTACAGTGTAGAAACAGGCCCTTCAGCCCAACAGTTCCAAACCGACCCACACAGCATCCCACCCAGACCCAGCCCCCATAACCCACCTAATCTACACATCCCTGAACAGTACGGGCAATTTAGCATGGCCAATCCATCTAGCCTGCACATCTTTGGAGTGTGGGAGGAGACCGGAGCACCCGGAGGAAACCCACACAGACACGAGGAGAATGTGCAAACTCCACACAGAGAGTCACCCGAGGGTTGAATCGAACCCAGGTCCCTAGCACTGTGAGGCAGCAGTGCTAACCACTGAGCTAATCAGGGGAGCCAATG